CGCTGAAAGCTTTGAAAAAAACTATCAGGTGTGTTTACTGGCCATGTCTTGAATATGGGAATGAAAAATCTTTTTCTTTCAATGATACGTGAACAAAAGAAAACAAAACGGTAAACAGTTTACAGAAAGAAACGTTATAATCATTAATTTTGTGCTTACTCATCTGCTACCCTTTGAATCCTTTTGTGATATTTTACGCGATATCTATTCTTAAAAAGTCTGTGTTAATAATTAAATTAATTATTAATTTAACAAATTAATAATTGACGCAGAAACGTCTTTAAAAAGTAGCCGGGATCGGGATTTCCAGGCAAAAAAGGGCGGGATAGCGGGATTAACAGGAAAAAATGGGCGGGAAAACGGGATCTGAGAACCCTATTGTGGACCCTCAAATACTAGATCCCGGATGATCTCAATTGAAGGTCAAAGTTTTGCAGAAGCTTGTTGGCGATGATTTGAGGGAAATTTGCCTGAAAGACCCTGAAAATAATAGCCAGCGATCAGCCTGGTACAAAGATGACCATTTCCTGCTTATGTTGGAAGTCCTAAATCTACTGAAGTCCTTTCCTGCGATTTATATTAACCCACACGTCACTTCCAAGCGTTGACGGACAGCAACCCTCTTGGGAGGAAACCAGAGCTAGCACTTTGTTTTAAGTAAAAAAGCCTGCGAGCAGGTTCTCCGAGTGGCAATCTTTCCCCTCGAGGATAAGAATAACCTTCTAAAGGGACAAAATAATGTAGCTGTACCACAGGTTGCCCCTTTTGTATTGGTGTAGTTGTTCATTCGTCATTTTTTGAAAGTCTAAGGGGCGTAGCTAGGGGGGTTCCTGGGGTGTCCGTGACCCCCCCCCCCCCCCCCCCCCCNCCCCTCCCCCCTTTGTAATCCTTTTTAAAGTTAACAACCTACAACAGGTGGCGAAAACGACATGACAATCTAGCGAGTACCCACACTTTCACACAGTGTGGACCCCCCCTTTGAAAAATCCTGGCTACGCCCCTGAGTCTGAATCACTAACAATAACTACAGGATTGGAAGATTTATAAACTCGTGCACCTCGGCGATTTACTGTGCATTTACCTACCAATCACACTGGTATAGGCTTTCAAAAGACTTGGGCTCGTCACGCAATCTCCGCTACCATGAAGGAACGAGTGGTGAGCCTAAAGAGTTTGAGTTGGGCTAGTCTGCGTAGCAGGCGCAAAACAGGGGAGATGGGAGGGAGAGAGTGGGAGGGCTTCCTTCGCTCCCTTTTGGCGTTTTTCGCAGGCTACAGTGGGGGCCACAGCATTACAAGTCAGAGACGGAAAAGTTAAAAATGCATATGAATAATTTGAACGCAATCAACAAGGAACTGATACCTTGACTAACGATACCAAGAGTGTTGTGTACATCTTGTTATTCTAAGAAAATTCACTTGTTCACAAATAGGTGAACGAGAGAGAAAACAGGACAAAACAAAAACAAGATATACCATTTTAATAAATAAATGTATGTCTAGGGGCATTTCAACACAAAGAATACTGCTTCAGAATGCTTGCTATATTACAGAACCTTCTCTTGCACCCAATTCACGTTAGCTGAACAATATTTGAAACTGCTCTACACAGTAGCCCTAAATCTTTAAGTTTATTTTAATAAATAAATGTATGTCTAGGGGCATTTCAACACAAAGAATCTTTAAGTTTATAAGGTGAGATCTATTAGGTGACTTTTCATGTTTTGTTTAAAGATGTTACGTGCACCTTTAACGAAATAGTAGTACCATGAGGGAAAGCCTAAGAAGATATTTACAGAATGTTAGCCTCGAAAACTAAAGTTTTTGCCCTCTCTACCGCCACAGGACAAAAGCAAATGATGCTCCTTATAATTGGCGCCTCTTTAGACAGCGGAAATTACGCCATTCTTTCCACCCTAATAAAATGATTACTTATCGTTTTAAAGAATGTTCGCTAGAAAACTCGGCGATCTACAGTCAATTCCATTTAAAAGGATACCTGTTCATGGTAAATTCATATTATCTACTGAGGGATATCCACGTCAGCTTAAAGGTGACGTGGCAATCCCTCATTGGATATTATGAATATTCATCGTCACCAGGATACGCCACTTGTCATGTTCCTTGTTTTTGCAACACCACATAACCTTAACGATCGGAGGCTCCTTCCCCTCAAAACAATCTACTTGTACACAGAGCCCCTTCACAATTACTGCCTTTATTTATATCGTCACGTAATGCTGCTCGCGAAGTGTTACTACGTGACGTACAAGATGACAACTGTTAGCTAGAGGGGCATAGTGCTACAAAACGTTACTATGTATCTCCCTGCAAGGCACTGCATCTCCAATATATTTGAAGTGAAGTGAAGTGAAAGACTTTATTTAATGAGGGTGACCCGTGACAGTAACTTAAGTTACTGATAAACTTGGGGCCCTCGGCTTAAAATAATTATTTTAGGACCAGCTTGCTACAAAACCGTAACCCTGCGGCCAGAGTCAATCTACTTGTACACAGAACTCCTATACAATTATTTCCTTTTTTATTAGCAAAGTGTTACTAAGTGACCTTCAAAACCCACTTGTTCCCCAGAAGGGCACAGTGTTACAAAACGTTGCTTTGTATCTTCCTGCGAGGCACTGCGTCCCCAAATAGTTTACGATCAGCTAGCTACAAAACGAAGTCCGCGGCTAGAGTCAAGTCGACGTTGATTCGCTACAAAACGAAGCCTGCGACCAGAGTCAAGTGGTAGCTGATTTACTTTCTCCCGGGGAAGGTTCGCTGTCATTGCTCTTGCCTGAAACCACTTCGTTCAAATTCGTCTCGTTCTCACTTGGAGGTTCACACAACTAGTTGAAACAAGAAAATATATATTACTTGATAGAAGACGTGCGTCCCGATGACGCGCATGCGCGACTTTGAGTGACACTGGAGGGTCCACTAAAGGGTTTAATCGCACTACTCAGTACCACCCCCTCACCCCCTCCACCTGGATAATTTGTGATTTCCTTACGTGGCTGTATAATTAACGCGTCTTTGAAAAACCGATTTCCCCGCCTTTGACCCTTTTGTATGAAACCAGCCGCTTTGAAGACACCAGTTATCCCCTACGATCTTCACAGAAATAATTACAAACCGATTCAAAATATGCCGCGAAATATGTCCTCAAATGACAAATAATTTCTCGAACACCGTTACTTTCACGGTTCTCACAACATCGATAGGAAAGGAAGTCAACTGTGAGAACTGGACTGTCCGTAAAAAAGTCCTTTAAGGTGCCTCCCTAGAGTTTTAACGAACACCCTCCCTGTAGAGTGCGAGTTAGAAAAGAAACCTTAGTTAATTTCTCTTGAAGTTTTCCCTGTAGAGATTTACCAGTATAGTTACTGTTAAAATAAGGTTTATCCTTTGGTTGTCAATTTTTGGACTAAGGGCGTTACCATGGCAACATATCATCTGATGACAGGCAGATGTATTCCCATTTTGGCCTAAACTCCGCAATATTGATACTTTCCTTCGGTGAAATTTTTTCATACTTTGCCACATCATGGAAATGATATTGCCTGACATTTTGAATTAGTAAAAAGTCAAGGTTGTTCAGACGG